ACAGAAAAGAAAAAACAAAAAAAATCAAAAAAAAAAAAAAAAAAAAAAAGCAGAACAGAATATCCCGACTCTGGAACAACTGCAAAGAGTAGCATGCATGCGTGGGAGTACAAGGAGAACAAGGTGAGAAAAAAAAAAGTGGAAGAAATATTTGAAAAAATTATGGAATTTCTCCCAGTTTAATGTCAAACACCAAAACCTAGATACAGGAAGCTTGGAGAACACCACACAGGATAAACGCCACACATAAAATTTTTTAGTATTAAAAAAAAAAAAAACTACACACTTAGGTGTATTATCTTCAAATTGCAGAAAATGAAAAATAAAGAAAAAGCTCTGCAAGAAATCAGAGGAAAAATACCTTATCTTACTAACAGAAAAATAAAGAAAAGAAATACATCAATTTCCCCTCAAAAACCATGCAAGCAAGAAGAGAGTGACGTGAAATTTTTAAAGGAGAGAGAGAAAGAAAACACTACCAAAATTCTGTGCCTAAAATTCTGTGCCTTTCAAAGTTATTCTTCAAAAGTATAGGAGAAATGAAATCTTTCTTACACAAAGATTGAGGGAATTTGTTTTCTTTAGACCTGCTTTGTGAGAAATATTAAATCCTCTAGGAAGAAGGAAACTAATATAGGTCTGAAATTCCGATATTCATAACAAAAAAAAGAAGGAATAAATGAAGGTAAAATAAAAACTTATTTTTCTTATTCTTCATTGATTTAACATATAACACTTGGTTTAAAAATAATAATGACTATGTATTCAATTATGTATGCTTATGTACATATCATTTATTTTATATATACACTTATATAGGCTTATATATAAATTTACAGGATATCAGGTTAATATAGAAAAGCCTAAGTGGAATTTGAAACTAAAAACGCAATATCATTTTCGTTACCGCTGAAAAAATACTTCTTGGGACAGCAGACAGTGTAATGGTTATGTCACTGGACTCCCACGTAGTTGACCAGAGTTCTAGTCCTAGAACCAGTGGCTTAAAACTCATACTGGTTATGTGTGTATGAGTACCCAAGATCCCTAGAGGAGAATGGAGGAGAAGGAATAGCGGTGTGGCCATTCCCCTGGGGAGTGATTTCTCGCTTTCTGTCTCTCTGTCTCTCTGGCAAGCTCATATGCCCTATAGCTAAAATCTCTCTGAAAACAAAAAATCCTTCTTTACCAAATGAAAAACATAGATTGTTATAAAATATATATTCGTTTGATTATATTAATGAAATATATCTGACAAAGAAGACACACAGATGGC